CTCGCAGTAGAAGGCATGCATATCATTATTACTTATGCTAATAATTATGATTGTGGTAGCTAAATAACTACAATAAAACGGTTGTGCATGCTGGATGCTACAGAAGAAGCTCAACCATCAACCAGAATCGAACGGTCAAGCATAACCATTCGTTGACACCTTTAAACGTTCTCAGATCAAGTCACAAGTGGAAAGTAAACTACAACAGTCGATTGATGCCTTTATTCCCAAATACCCCTCGACTCCCAATCCAGCTATACCAGGACAAAAGTCCTCGGCCGAACTGTCTCTAGGTTGACTGATGCATTTAGTTCACGACGCCTTGATTCCGAGCGCGCGCAGAATCACGCACCGCTAAAAATATTAAGGTTACATGGAGAAATTTTAGGACAGGAGATCATGTTTACGTACGTAATTCTCGAAATGGATCGCTGAGCTGGATTCTCGGAGAGATTATAAAACAAGATTGATCCGTCACATACTTATTCAGAGTAAGACATTCCATATGAACTAGGCATATCAACCACCTCAGACCTGGGACCAGGAGACAAGACTTTGATTACATATCCATCAGCACCGAAGTTGAAGCACCTAATCAACCTGACCGGCGACACTGAACTCGAAATGAAGCTTCAACAAGCACGCTGATCACCAATCCCAAGAATCAAACCAATGGATCGTCACTGGTGTGTTCGAATCCATCTTTCGAAAGCAGAGTGTGATGATAGCTCAAACCACGTCGCAAATAGGTCGTTTAGAGTGTCACGTGACTGATCGGCTTCGCGATCGACCTTACCATTTTTGATAGGCCTGATGATCATCGATCCGTGTTCCACTCATTGACCCCGTAAATCGTGTTGACACAATTACAGTCGGCCCGGTCCAGGTCAGTGACTTGTGTCCTTTGCAAACCAAGGGCGTACAGGTACAACAGATAGTTCTGATACCCGCAACAATCTTGTGAAGTTGGGTGTTGTTTCATCGAAAAACATGAGCTATTGTAGAAGCATTCTAACCTCGAAGGAACATTATTTCAGCGTATGTTCTGAACCATTAGAGGAAATCTTTGGATATCGAACACCGATAGAGTCAACAGGGTAAAGCATGAAAAGAGCAGATTGTGGAAATATCAAGCAAAAAATAGGATTGCATGGATCAGATTAATAAAACGACAGAACAAAGCATTATTGGTCGAAATACAGTCGTTCTTGTAATGGATAATTATTTCAGGGCATTCAATGACGTGATTTTAACTTTACAGACATTGATGTTCTTTCCAATTTAATTTTAAAGGTGAATTCGTCGTGTATATAGCAAATGAAGCGTGAACTGAAGCACTGGACAGCTGTTTCCACTTTCTCATCAGCAGTGCGAATCCATCGACCTAACTAGGGATTAAACCCGGAACTCATGGGCGAAAGCAAGCATGCTACCCACTACGCCACCGGGCAGCCTTTCAGACCGTTTTTCATTATTCCATTTACATGATATGGCACAACCCATCTTTGGGAGCTTGTTGCGGGCCACAGACCCTGCTCATCTCAGCACTAGAATCTAGGGTTATGACTCGGTTGGAAACTTTCACAACCTGGCTACTGATTTCAAGTGAGTAATGGAGGATTTGATTCAATCTCATAGGTGAATTCATCGTGTATATACATAAACTCCGTGAACCATTCCTAATTAATTCTACATAAAGTAGAAACAAACATAACTATAAAGACGAAGTTTCAAAACAAGCTTGATAACTATGTTGTTCGTCTTCTCATATGCTGTTGCTGAATATCAACACTTCGAGGTATATAAAGCGATTTCTTGATTCGAATTGAATTGACTTATACGAATGTTCTATGAATTAAAAGTAGGCAATGATTATCCGGTGCTGAAGAAACTCAATAGTTACTTGGGCTTGAGAACCAGGCTTGCAGAAGTGAACACGAAGATCGAATTTCTCCATCAATGCATAGAATAAAACGAGTATCGGAAAGTGCATCGACGCGCTCGCATCAGACCAGATGCAGTTCTCCTAAAGTGCCCTGTCCGTAGCATGATGGATATCATCGGATCATGTGCCATGTTGTTAAAGGAGAACATTGAACAATGCAAAGCTATATATGAAATACTGAGCATTGAAGTAAGCGAACGATTCGAGCAATTTTCTTTGAATATAATCAAATACCGATGGAGAAGAAACGGCGTAAACTGAATGTTACAATAATCATAATCAGAAACTGAGATAAAAGTTCCCCAAAAGCCAGAGCAATAAGTTCAAAATCTATCCAGTTTACCCACAGATAATACGCTACTGAGGTTTCTATGGCTCGGTAGAAGATTCTGCTAGCAAAAATCCAGAGATGATCAGCTTTCTACAGAAGTTCAATTCGAGAACTTCCGTTCGCAGACAGAAGTGTAACTGCAATAATACAGAAATCAGTTGACCATTTCAAAGCTAACCTTGTTGATACCTGCTTCGAATACCGCTGCACAACAATATCACGTGAAAGCCTGCCTACTCAGTCAAAAACATGCCATAGCCGTAGGCGAACTGAAGCAGAATACGGAAATCGTGATTTCGAAACCTGACAAAGGCGACGGTGTTGTACGATTCGATCGTAAAGATTACGTAGAAAATGATGACAATTCTAAACGACAGCAACAAGTTGACGAAGATCGAAAAATGTTAAATGTTTCAAAACGTTGAAAGCTCAAAGTGACATGAAAATGTGACTAACAAGTGAAATCAATTGAGACTCATATCCCCGGACCATATAGCCGACCGAAGTTCACAAAGCACGAACGCCATTGCTACCGATGTTATGCGAAACTCTTCTTTTCATGCAGGAAGCAAATTAGCAAACATTATTTCAAATATACTTTCCGATTTGTCGATCCAATTGGAGACGTGCACATGAAAGACCTGAAAATGAACTCGTTAGACATACAATCACATTTTACAAGTGTGCCACGCGTTGAGACGGTGTCTCAGCTCTTCTAGTACCTCCATGAGGAAAGCACACAAATCGAATTTCAACTGCCAACTTGCACGAATAATTATTGGGATGTACATTTAATATACAATGTTCTTTTAGTGGTACAGTCTACCGACAGAGGGATTGTGCGGCCCTGTGTTGTGCGGTCCAACGCATTTGTTGGATAACACTTGAATACACTGCTCCCATTGAACGCGCAACATCAATGCTCGATGTACACACACAGACATACAAACATACACGTACATGACACGGATGTCCCTCACATACGACCTTGATTACAGTGACCAATTAAACTGCACCACGTGTCTGCTTGTTACTGATTGCGGTTAGTATCGGCTGATGACATGCTTTGGTTATTGTGCATGAATTGCGATGCCACCGGTTTGTGCCTAATTAAAAGGATATGCTTCTCTGCATATTACGAGTTCCATTGAATACAACACAATGGATGCCCCACTTCACCCGCCTCTCGTGGTTTCTTCCTCACGTACTTAACTGCTCGCCCAACGTCCGAACACTTTATCACACAGAAAGCTCATTCCGATTTTAGATCACGCATTCACTAGACAAAATGGATGTGAGAGGCTGCATTATCAAACCCTGAATCGAGATGCATTAGGAAGAGACACTAGTCATATTCTAACGCGTGGCACCAGCTAACTAGACAAAGGGACAGAGGACGGTCAAAGGAGTCAGGGGTGGTCTCCAAAGGTCTCCGGACATAATTGAACTCGCATCCAAAAGTTATAGATAGACACTAGTGGATTCCTGTCATGAATACCGCAATAAATTCATAAGTGTGCATGCTGACCGTTCCAATGTGATAGCGATTCAAATGATTATGATATCAATAGACAGAGGAAGATACAGACAAACAGACAGAAACGAACACTGTCAACGATAGACTATTAAACAGACAGATTAATGAGCCGGCTGGCGAACACAGTTGGGAGAAGACAACAAGAAAGCTCACGAAATACAGTAATGGTATTCAACTGCCACATGCGTGCAGTTACTACCACTAATAACAGTTTGACTAATATCACTTTCGAACAGGTTCAAGTTCTCACCCAACTCGATATCCTTCGAGTAGCAAAGATGCAAGGCTTTATTTCTGTACCACGCAGAAATCGATCTTAGACATGGACTGAAATTACTGTGCTCGTTGAATAAATAACGGAAGCAAAGAAAAAAATTCATCGGCATGAGAAACATTCGCAAAGATAGTTTTGTTAAAACCATTGGAAGTGAGCGTGGTGATACTGACTTTGTTAAGTAAACAGAATTCGTGTGTGTGAGTTTAGTTTTTGGTATTTCTGCGTGTGTGTTGTGGGAATGAATAGCATGGAACGGGAGGAGGGTGGACAAAAGCCTTTCTCTTCTCTCAACCTAGCGCGGAGCACGAATGAAAGAGGAACCTATCTAGTCAGCGTATCAGTTGGAGTAGGTTAAGCGGCCTATAAATGAAAAAGGAAACAATGTTAGAATGGGACATACAAATGAAGTGAAATCTTGCCGCGTAAGTTTTCTAGCGCCCCAGGTATGACGTAAAAGGGACGACGACAATGACGTAGTGACAGCTCCGTATGGAATAGTCATATCTGGAGTGGGTGGAGGACGAGTGACAGGTTGTGTAGATACATGTGCCAAACGTTGGACTGCATGGTACGATTCGGTTTATCCCCGATCACAGAAGAAAAATTATAGATCCAAGACATCTTTCCACAGAGAAAAGGGGAAAATAAACGGGGGTGCGCGAAGTCAGCACGAAATGCATAGAGTGCGAGCCAAATCGACAGAAAGGGAGGAGTATGAGCAAGGGAAAAAGAAACGGTCAAGGGAGCTGACAACGGTGGTAAGTTTGGAACGGACGGTAGGGATGGGGGATAGACTACGCACGCGATTTGGTCCATGGTTGGACCAGGGTGCCGGTTCGCTAAACCATAATAGCGCGCAGGTGCACGTCAATGAAGTACACCCAGGTGTATGCATATATGGCAGTCGGAATTACTCAATACATTGCGTAATGAAATCCAGTAACCGTCGGCCGTATAATTCCGGTTTAACTGTGCTTATGTCAGCACCAGCACCGTGTTTCACCGTTTTGTAGGTTTGTGCGGTTCGTTTGCGCATTCCGTAACGAGTGAGTATGTCAATGATTGCCACGAAATAGATTAATGAACGCGGAGATTCTGAAAAGGGAATTAAAAATTTAGCCCAATCAAACAGAAAAAAATGACGGGAAACAGAAACCTGTACAAACTAAGGATCATGAACTGTTCTGAGGATCACTTACCAGGGGAACTTTTAATAGCATAGTACTCGAGATTGGGATGTAGGTCACCACAGAACGGTTGTTCGGTGCCCGGATCATTTGTAGGGCTATCCGGAGGTGTCAAGTTACCTGAGATGTTTATAGTTGAAAAAATATAAATGAAAATAACTTTTATTTCAAACTGAAATCAGATGTATACATATCGGTTTACATGTTGATAATGAGTCGAGTCTAGAAGCACTACGGTCAAGAGAGAACCTGGCAAAACCAAGCACTTTGCCCTCAGACTATCGAGAGTATGAAGAAAAAATGAGGGGATGGGACAGCGCATCAGGTGACGCGGGTTTCACGGGCAAAGCGTACCTCCTGAGCAGAACAGTAAGACAGCGTGGTTCACCGTAGTTAGTGTGAACGTCAAGCGTTTGTATGTGTGCTATGAGCATCAGTACAACAATGAAAGAATGAAGCAAGACGTACGACCATCGTATGATATCAAATACGAACAAACGGATTGCAATGAGTAAAAACCAAGTTTTCTTGCATGTGTACCTTCCAGTGTTAGAAAAACAGAGGATAGGTTACGGTCTCTTCACAGAACACAATACGTCAAGAAATCAAATTTGGACCGTGCAGAAAAGCAATAGTGGTATTTTAAGTGCGAATTGAATGGTAAATTTGTTAACTGTGAATCGTTAAAAATGAACCACCCAACACGGCAAAACCGGGTTAGGATCAAAATTTTAAAGACTGACGGCATATTTAGGCAGTTGTAGTTACGTAGAAGCCAATCGTTCTCTATTGGGAAATGTATCCCAATGGAAGTCAGTAACCTCTCTTACTAATCGGAAAACATTAGGTTCTAAATTGGACATAGACCATTTTTACACAGATTTTGTTTAATTTTGAGCAGTGGAAAAACACTTACTGGGGGTGCACGGTTCTGTGGAAATAGAATAGTTATTTCGGAATGAAATTTCAAAACCATCAGAGGCGCTAAGAAAGTATGAGACGCTCGCGCAAGCAGAACACTAAGGAACCCGTAAGATGAAGTAAAGAAATGCGTTCGATGAATGGAAAAATGACAGTAGCAAGAAGAGCGACTGTCAACGGAAAAAGACATTTATTGGGACGTGCCAACCAAAAACATTCACCAAGCATTTGGTTAACACGAAGAGTGGAAGAATCAGGTATTAAATGGGTTATGTGAAACTAGACAAATAAAGCAATTACGCGCCCAGGGTTGCTCATGCATCCTAAGCAACAATCTATCTAAAACCTCAATTAGGAATTACCTCCAGTTCTTTTTGTTTTCAATGAAAACAATTGTTCGCATGAAATTACCGTTTCTATCTCTCTCATACTTCTTTTTTTTTCTTGTAGGTCCCGCACAAAAGCAGCTTACCACCCGTGTGAAGTGATTATCCCCAGGTGTCGCATTTCTAACTTTTGGTGATCTTTCTTCACAAGAACAGCACACCTGTAGAACACTTCCCTCTTTTCAGCCTTCGCTCCAACTTAAAACAGCCTTGTCTTTGAAAGTAGAATCAAAAAGCTGTTTCTCGCATGAATGTTCCCTTTACCATACTATATGTGCTTGGATTATGATATTCACTCATTTTACTATATTTCGTAGTCTAATGATAGAGATGACCAACATGGAGTTCACGATTCTTATTTAAGCTACTAAATGGCTCTGACCAGGCGTCTTGCAAGTGCAAATGTCGGTAGGATTCGACCCCATATTTTGAAAACAATGGCTACTGAAAATTCTCGTATTCCACAAGTTGAGGTTGATAACGATGGACATTATTTATTAGCATCGTTAATTAGGTACGCCTGGGTAATTTCGAAAGCAATAGGTATTTGTAAAAACAAAACAACTGTTCGCCTGAAACTTTGCTCTTAACTCATGTATTGAATATTCCAGTGATGTCAACGAGGCTGTGTACAGTTGTCCTTTAACTCCTAATCGGGAAGATCTGCTTGCAACAGGACTATTACCATAAAAAAATCAAGAAGGGTGGCTCGTAAATCAGAGGGTAGTGATTTTCGCTCGAGGCCAGCCTTAGAGCTTGTCTCAAAAGATGGTGTAGTTGTAAAAGTTGATCCACACAGTAGCATTTGAATATGCATGGAACGGATAACCAGTTCAGTAGTATGCAATGTTGCTTTGAAGATGCTGAAACCATTGGTCATCAGAGAAGACAGGATTACATAATGATTGAAACACGTGAGCATTCGACGATCATGATTTGAGTATCATACTGATGGCTGCGTGTGGATAACCAGACATTTCACAAGTGGGTCCAAGAAATTATTAACAAAGTGTCCCTCTACTTTGTCCTCTCGTTTACTATATCTGTTGCGTTTATTCCACATAAAACTCAGAAATGTTAAAGTGGTGTTTCTGTGGTCAAAAAAGAACAACCAAATGTAAGCATAATTCAACGAATGAAGTTGAACTGAGGAAAAGTTTTAGACGCACAGTCATTCAAGTAGATGATGGCACAAAACTCAGCAGCTAGGAAATGTAATGGCTCTGATTCTTCTTCCAGACGATGCATTGGATAAAACTCGCCTGACTAGATGCAACACATTCGAATATGTTGCAATTTTCTACACAACACATTTCAAGTTTGATTTAGGTGTTCGTCTGTGTGCGTCCCTTGAACAGCTCAATCAATATGACCACAAAGTGACGAACTGATCTGAGTCTTACGCAGCCACAGGTATGTTATTTTCCGTTCCACCA